GCCACTCCTTAGCTTGAATTTTTACCTCCCCTTCTATCTGAATCCTGTCTCCTCCCCTTTGTCCAGCCCCTGTGAAGCCAGGGAGCTCTGTCTCTCTACCCCTCACGATTCCTTACTGTCTTCCCATTGATTAAGTGCTCTCCTTTACTGCTCTGAAATGGGCTCACCTTAAGGGTGGGCTGTTATTCTGTGAATTGAGTGGTGACAAGATGAAGCCTTCCAGGAAGAATTAGGCCCCAGATTTTTCCTAAGAAAAACGATATTCACAGGATAGTCACATAGGCCAGGATTCTGGAAGGTGTGGGGCAGCAGAGCTCAGAGTGAAGGAAGAACCCAGCACAGGGTCTGGCCTACAGGGAATGCGAACCCAGGCTTAGAGTTTAAATGAGAGCTTAGGACTTAGCAAGGAGCTGGAGCACCAGCAGGGTGGCCCAAGGTCAGGAACCGAGCCTGAGTCCACGGGACCCACTTGTATTTCCTGCCCAGAGGGTGGGCTTGAGCCTGCACTGATAACTCACCCTCAGTAGATGGACAGGGCATGTCTCTTTCATCCTCGTGATATCAGTTACATGGCCATATTATTGAAAAGTTGTTTCATTTTCTTTTTGGGGTATATGTTGAATATTCCAAACTACATGTGTGATCAGCTCCTTAAAAACACAAAGTACTGTTTTTGTCTTTAATATCTTCTCCCATAGCTTTTTAGAATCATTTTCCCCCAAAATAGACTTTTTTAAAAAGGGAGGTTATATTTAAACAAAAATAAAATTAAAAAAAAAATAAAAAAAATAAGGGAAGTTATAACCAATCTGGAGGCTACTGTAATATGACAAACCTAACCTAGAACAGTGGCCAAATTGTTAGACTCCACAAGTCCCCCTGGAGACTGGAAATAGACAATGAAGGCTAAATCCCTCTGTCCATGCCTTCCTGTTCTTACTAAGCATAACGAAAATTGTAGTTCAGTGGGATCTAAATAGAGAAATAATAGTCCCATCTTTCTGCATTCAGAAATAGAGAGATGTAACCTATACTCCAGCCAGCAGTTTTCAGTTTCTTAGCCGTGACAACATAAGTAAATTTCACAATGTGGAGATCTTACTTTGTTATAATTGACAATATAAAATCAGACTTTTCTGCTGTTAAGATCATCTGGCCTTCCTATCAGCCAGGTGGAATGTGGAGTAAGATTGCACAGCTGTGGATCCGAAGTCTTCAAAGAGTTAAAAGTTGCTTTCTCTGACGGATTTAAACCTGCCATGTACACACAAACAAGTTTTTCAAACTGCCCTATTTTACATCTTTGTTGAGAGACTGTCTAGTTGTTGCATTTTTATGTCTAGATTATATTACAGATACATTTCAATAAACCACGAAGAAGCACCATAGATTCTAGAAGCCGGCCGCCTGTGCTTAAATAAACATCTCCTGCAGCACCTGTTTTATTTTATAGGCTCTATAATCATGGTGACATTCTGAAAGAAGACCTTGAAGACTGCAGGGCAGCTGTCCTTCACTAGCTTCTGACACTCTCACCAGGGGAGGCAGGGATGAAAAGCATGCCAGGTGTTACTGTCATGAAACTACTGCTGCCGTGGGTGGCTGTTCAGGCTCCTAGATGCTTCCAAGAAAATGGTCACAGAGTTAGTTGCAAAACACTAGTCCACACAGCATGGAATAAACACTTGCAGTCCTTGGTTTAGCTTCTTTATGAACTTCACAATCTGCTTCTGTGTAAATGTATTTTTTTCTAATTGTTAACTGGATATATCCATTCAATCCTAGCTTATTGCAGTGTTTTAAGGGCTGGCTTGGTGGGAGAGAGCATGGATAGCCTTTGTTGGGTATGTTATATTAGCATACCTTGGAGAACTACCCAACATATAACCCAGTATAGCCACCTCCTAGAGGGATGCCCTTGGCAGGTCCAAACCCCAGGTGGGTTCCTAAATTTCCAAGGTCATGCTAGTGATACAGGCTCCCAATCTAGAAGATACAGGTCTACAATCTATGAGTGTGGTACCTACACCAGCAACATCAATAAAACCGGAGAACAGAAACACACCTCAGGCCCTACTTCCCAGGATCCACTGAATCAGGAATTTGGGGGTAGGGCCCGTCTGGGTTTTAATGAGCCCTTAAGGGAACGCTAATCCCTCAACTTTGAGAGCCACCATTCAGAGTATGTGTCTTAAATGGCCAAAAGCTGGGATGAGAGAGAGAAGTTTAATTGTCTGTAGGGTAGTTGGCACATGTGAGTCATGATTCTTGTACCTCCTTCCTAAGACAACCAAATTCATTCCTTACCCTCTACCCTCCTATTAGGCTGTCTGGTTTCCTCCCATGTCCTTAGAAGCTTTGTGGCATCTGGGCTACTTACTGAGTTTATGTAAATGTGTAATGTGTGTAATGGTTTGTTCACTGCTGGCACTTGGTAGGTGCCTAATTCATGTTGCATGTATGTTACCAGTGTCCTAACCCTGATTTTTATTTTGGGAACGGACTGTTTTCCCTTATTAAAGTACATTTCTACCACTTGCTAGTAAAGAACAAACTGTTACTTGAGTGTGGTCAGCAGATGATGTCTGTGCAAGCCCATCCGAAAAGACCTTGTTTGGCTGAGAGAGGGGAGGGCTTTGGGTCTAGTTGTTTTACATCCAACACCATTTTCTCCACCCTGAGTGTGCTGCGTAGGCTGTTTCCGTGTTAATGATATAAATAAGAAGGGTAACGTGACTTTCTTTAGAATAGAATTCAGCACAAGTCCAGTGTGTATTGGGTCCCATCAGGGTGTAAGGAGAAGTCAGACAATGGTTTCTAACAGGACTTTGTCATGAAAAAACTTGGCTAATCACATGGTTCCATTTCAGACCACAGGCTGAGGTCCACAAGTCCCACGTGTGCCTACAGTGCTTTCCGCATCTGTACTAGCCATCACCAGGCTAGGGGGTACTGGGCATGACCTTCCTGGTCGGTGCTTCTCAATCCAAAGTAGTAACATGCCATGCAAGGAAATTCTCTTTCATGTTTCTTACCATGTGAAATAAAAATAGCACTTTACAAAGGTGGTGGAAGAAGCTGCTGGGAAGGAGTCTACTCTCTCTGGTCGTGTGTTGTAAGGCTCTCTGACGAGGCCCCTGTTTCTTTCTTGCTGCCTTTCATACCCATTGATGTACTATTTCACATAAACCACAGTCATTATATGTGGCATGGAAAGCATATATGCATCTATAATTCTCTGTGCAAACTGACTGGTTAGACTGCATGATTCATTGTGTGACTCTCTTAACCTGGGCTGCCAAATTGTGACTGTGGATGATAAGATATGATGTCTACATCTACTAGGCTAATGTTTGTTATAGTTTCTCAACATATATAACAGAGCTTTGATTTCCATTATGAAAGGTTGCATTTTATATGACTATTGATCTACAGTTACCTATAAATCAGCCTTCCGTAAGAAATGATCCTTGTTTATGACCAACACAAATTTTAAAATTAATATCTGGAGCCTTCAAGATGGTTTCTATACCACAATCATTTTTAAAGCCTGATAAAGAAGTCAGGAATGGTGACTGTTGTCAGTGTTTTGCTCTGTTACGAATAGAATTGTCCTGTGTGTGGCTGAGGATGCTGATTAAAGCACATAGATTATCACTGGTCACTCTCTAGCCTGGGAAAAAGTGCCTTAAATGCAGATTCTTTCTAATGGGTTTTAATCATGGCATCAGGCTCCCCCATGTTCTTCTTCATCTAGGTACCCCCTGCACCCCTCAAACCCCAGGTGTTACTGCTGGGCACTCCCCTAAGTGAAATATTCCTGCCGCTTTGTACTCTCCCCTGGACCGAAGCTGTCCACTGGTCAATTTTATAAACCATTCCAGAAACACAGATTTGGAAAGAATGATCTACTCTTGTTCCTTCATTGTTAATGACTCCGTGTTATAGAATGGCAGAGTAGGAAGTTTCTAGAAGGTTATGAATTCATAAAAACCTGTTGAAAAGAGCTGTGCTCGGTGTGCCCCAGACCAAACCATGGCAGTCGCTAGCTGTCTCTTTGCTTTAGTCTCATCGGTAAAATGGGACATCTGCACCATAGCATATGCTAAAAGGTAATGAGAAGCTGTCTTTCCTTTTTAAGGCTAAATCCAAAGTTTTTAAATTTTTTACATTTTATTTTTCTTTATTTTTTAAAAGAAGTCACGGCTTTTAAAACACTAGCTGTGTCAGTCCATCGTAACCATTATTCTTTTTGGTGCTCAGATTGTGCTGTCTCTGGCCAGGGAGAGCCCTCTTCAAGATAGCTCCTGAGGCTTTGCCATGACTCATAGACTGTGATGGCTCCCTGACCTTCGGGCATGATAAGGTGTTCAGGCTACCTCATACATTTCCTGTGCTAGACCTGGAATAGGGGATTTTTCTCAGGGGCCCTGGTTCCATTTAGCATCTAAATACCATAGTCTAGACAGCAAGATGGGCTTGCTTTTTAACTCTTTCCTAATACTATCTTCATATTTTTAATTATAAGTAGACCATAGTAAGAGTACAACAAGGATAAACTATTGTTAAAGGGAAAATGTGGTCTGTTTCTCTTGCCAACATTTAAGAAGAGCCTGGCTGGCTATGCAGTGATTTGAACCCATGGCTGCACATTCGAACACTCTTTATGGCTGGGTCACAGCCCAGACCTATTTTACTAGACTCTATAGGGGGTGGCACTGGGCACCTAGGTTTTACAGAGCTTCCCAGATGGCTCCACTATACAGCTGAAGTTGAGAATGCTTGTTGAACATTGAAATCATAACCAAAGTAAAATAAAAGTTTTTAAAAAATGTACCTGGACTCTAAAAATTCCCTTAGTCCAGACTAAATGAGATTCCAGGCTTTTCTGGGTAACCTATCTTCTACTAAGTTGATTATGGGACCTTAAGAAATGTGGGAATCTCATAAGTAGCTCAATCTTACAAATCTCTAATGTTTCTCCTGTTTCTGTTTTACAGATCTGAGCAAGCACCAGCCTCAGGCTTATTAAGGGCACGATTGGGTCAGCATGTCTCCACCTTGAAAGAACATGATAATTCTAATAAAGAAGAAATAGGTAAACTGTCAGAAGTTTTCCCAGTCAAAAATGTGGACCAGAGGACAAAGGTTAGTCATTTTTTTTTCTTCCCCATTTTTTTTTTGTTTAAAATATTACAGATGTCCCTTTTTCTCCCCAGTGGCCCGTTCCACCCTGTCCTTTCCCCCTCCCCAGTCCCTCTCCCCATCATTGTCCGTGTCCTTGGGTTGTGCATATATGCATATAAATTCTTTGGTTACTCTCTCCCCCTCCACCCACCCTCCTCCATCCCTCTGACATTCGTCAGTCTCATCTATGCTTCCATGTCATTGAATCTATTCTGTTCATCAGTTTATTAAGCTCTTAGATTCCACGTATAAGTGAGATCATGTGACATTTGTCTTTCTCTGTCTGGCTTATTTCACTTAGCGTAATATTCTCCAGTTTCATCCATACTGTCCCAAAGGGTACGAGATTCTTCTTCTTTACAGCTGCATAGTATTCCATGGTGTAAATGTCCCACAGCTTTTTTATCCACTCATCTACTGATGCTTGCTTGGGCTGTTTCCAGATCTTAGCTACTGTAAACTGTGCTGCTGTGAGCATTGGGGTACATATATTCTTTCTGATGAATGTTTCAGGATTCTTAGGATACATTTGAGGAACCTCCATACTGTTTTCCATAGTGGCTGCACCAGTCTGCGTTCCCACCAGCAGTGTACTAGGGTTCCCCTTTCTCCACACCCTTGCCAGCACATGTCGTTTGTTGATTTGTTGATGGAGCCATTCTGACAGGTATGAAGTGATACCTCATTGTGGTTTTAACTTGCATCTCTCTGATGATTAGCGACGTTGAGCATTTTCTCATGTGTCTCTTGGCCATCCGTATGTCCTCTTTGGAGAAGTGTCTATTTAAGTCCTTTGCCCGTTTCTTAATTGGATTGTCTGTCTTCCTCTTGCTGAGTAGTATGAGTTCTTTGTATGCTTTGGAAATTATCCCCTTATCAGATACATCCTTGGCAAATATGTTTTCCCAGGTTAGTCATTTTTTAAAAATAGTTTCAAGATGTACAAGGTAATGATTTGAGGAAATAGTTACGTTCTTAACACATTTGAAAAAATAACTAATAAGTGAGGTTTTGTGGTTAGTTTGTTTTAACTTTCTGATCTCAGGCCTTTTGTATATTGCTTTGTGTAGGAATCTCACCTCCTTACATAGTTAATTCAGGTCCTAGAGGTAATCTAATTAAACACATCCACACAACATTTTCCAAGGAGCTCAGAAGCATCTTGTAAGCGTTCTGGTTTTCTTTCTCCACTCTGTACTTCAAAAACACTGTATGATTGGTCATTCATGTCAATTCGGCAAGTATGTATTGATCCATTTCTGTACACAGGCACCAGCTCAGACCCATTGGAGGGAATGAAATAAATAAAATGTGACCCCATTCTGGGGAACTGCATAGTGAGATGCATGTAATAAGAAAATGGCAAAGAATATGGGCCTTCAGAAAATGGAACCAAGCCATCTGGAGGAGCAATGAGGGCAGACTTTACAATGGAAGAAACAGAGGGGGAGTGAAGTGACCCTTAACAGACTGACAGGCGTGGCTGGTGTGGCTCAGTGGTTGAGCGTCAACCCGTGAACCAGGAGATCGTGGTTTGATTCCTGGTCAGGGCACATGCCTAGGTTGCGGGCTCCATCTCCAGTAGGGTGAGTGCAGAAGGCAGCGGATCAATAACTCTCTCATCATTGATGTTTCTCTTTCTCTCTTCTCCTTCCCCTCTCTCTAAACATCAATACAAGGCATGTCCCTGGGTGGGGATTAAAAAAAGAGAGAAAGAGAGTAGAAGGACTTTTTAAAAGTATATCAAACATGTATACATAGAGTAATACAATGTACCCACCTCCCCAGATTCACATGTGTTGCTGTATCGTACTGTATTGTTTCAGACCCCTCGTCCTCGCCTCCCCCCCTTCCTCCCTCCTCTCATGTTTTCTCTCCCTTTCACCCTCTTCTCCTCTCCTCCTGCTCTTTCTCTCCTCTCCTTCCCCCTCCTCTTCCTCCTCTAGCCTCCTTTCTCACCTCCTTCTTTCTCCTGTAATAAATTATCACCGCTATAGATACAGCCCCTGGTCCTCTCAAGGATCCCGTGCTCCTTTTCAGAAGTAGCCTTGTGGATCTCCTTTCTGCATACATTTTCATTTTCCCGAATTGTGTGTGATTCAGTAAATAACATAGAGCTTTGTTTTGGTTGCGGTCTGATACCATTCGCGGGAATGTTCTTTAGGAATGACAAACCTGTGTTTTATAAATCCATCTCATAACTGGTGATAAATGCAGGTCTCAAGAAGGATTTTGTTTTCAGATTTCATTGCCTGTTTTATTTAGTACTGTTCTGTAATGACACTGTTTACAGCTAATATATCACATCAGCTATGTCAAGGGTGAAATAAGTATTGGTTGAATGCCCTTTGTTATCTAATCTTTTTTAAGGGTGTCTTTTAAATTAGAAAGCATATTCCAAGTTCTAGACAACAAATCCACTTACAATTTTCAAATAAAAACTCCATAATTAATGAGAGGGGGCTGCCCATCTAATAACTTAAGAATCAAATAATATTCTGCTTTGTTCCTTTAAATCATCATGATCTCATCTTAGTGGCAATCATAAAAATTACCAATAAATTAATGACAACATCTATCCTTAAAGCTGGAAGTAAGCAAGCAGTCTCACAAATGGTTAGGTTCTGACTGATGAAATGCGCAGCCCCAATGGACAGTGTTACCAAAATTATACGGGCAGGGCCAGTCTTGGGCACTTGAGTACGAAAATGCTTTGTGGGGTCTAGCTCTGTTTTAGTTTCTGCATCACCCTTTTATAATTAGCAAAATCAAGTATCTTTGAGTTGTTTCCTCGTGTTGAAAACAATATGTACATTTAGTAAATAGTATGGGTTAAATATTTCTCTATAAATAAAATTCTTAAAAGTAAAAGATTTAAGAAAGCTCTACTAGCAATTACTTGGTTAAGTAAGAGTCTAATGAAGCTCAGAAATATTTACTTTGATCTCTTGGGTAAATGGCTAATTAAACAGCACATGTAAATGATGTTTACCTGTGGGCCCCCTGCTGTCAGCGGGAGTCAATCCATCTCTTGAGTAAATACATCATTAAAGCTCTGAAACTCGGATTATGTCCCCTTGAGACTAGATAAGGTCCACAGCACCCGCATAACGTATTAGGCAGTTACATTATTGAGCTGCACACTTTAAATCAGAAAAATTTGTAATTACTCTATGTGAAAAAAAAATGAGTTGGGTGCTTCATTAAAATACAAAGTGCCTTAATACTCCTTTTCGTTTAAGTGATGCTTGTTTCCATCTGGGAAAACCCCAGACAAAGCAGAGTGGTCTGCTGGTGTCACTGGTAGAGCAGGTCAGTCCTATCCCCTACCACATACACATCAGCCAGACACGTGACTGGTCACAGAAATCCCTTCACCTCTCCCTAAATGGTGGGCTGGTTGCTTGTTCTCTCTTGAATGCTCCTCTGGTGGCTCATAAGAATACTGCCCCTTTCTGTTAATTGCTACATAGATAAAATCCCTCTCTTCTCGTGTAACTTAGATATAATGTAAGTGATGATGCTCATTTTTCTCTATAAATGCTGAAAAATTAACATCGAGTGTGCAAGAGGAAGGTTCTTGAGGAAGGGCCAGTTGCATCTGTGTACATGGGAAAATGCCATGGCTGTCTACATCTATGGTTTTAATTCTCTTGCCTGTCTGTATCTGCATTAGTAGCGCTGATTGACACATAGAAGGGAATTATGTCTTACTAAATGCTTTCACATTCACTTTCTCTTTATGTTGTTAACATAAGAAACGTTCAGACCTGTAGAGAATTTTTATGAGGTTATTGAAGCAAACTGATGACACTTGCTGGGAAGCAAAACCTCAATGGATTGGGGAAATGCTCCGGAAAATGGCACTTTTACCACTTGTTTTATACACCAGAATTAAAGGGGAAGACTAAGGGAGTTACATGGAATCCATTGGTGATAGATTAGGGAGGCAGAAGAAAGTGAAGCAGGGAAATCTCTGGGGTTGGATAAAAAGTTAAAGGAATAGACACACTCCTTTTACATTTGTGGGTTATGGGGTAGTTAACAACAATTAACATGATAACAGTAACAATGAGGGAACTTGTAGTCTCTGCTTTGGTGTGGTGGTTGTGCTGTGAGGGGTCTGGGAAAAGATGAAATTACTTTGACATTCCAAAAGAATGTTATTGTATATGCCAAAAGATAACAGACAGGCTCAGTTACCATAAAGCTTGACCTTTGTCAGGGAAGATACCGGCCTAGGACATGACTACCCACCGTGAACTCCTTTTAGTTGGAAAGTTTTAATTTCAGACCATCCTATGTGGTTGCTTTCAGTCTCTGAACTTGTAACGCCACCATGCAGGCCTCCCCTGAGCCTGTCAGGTTTAGTATGTGCTCCCCACTTTTTTCATCCACAGTGTTTGTACTACCCATCACAGAAATTGGATTCTTTTCTAACTGGCATATATATTCTTTAAAAAACTAGCAGGGGAAGAAACATAAACTTGGGATGTTAAGGTAACCAAAAAGAAGAAACGAGAATTGCTTGTTGCCTGGCTGGCGTGGCTCAGCGGTTGAGCATCAACCTAGGATCCAGTAGACTGCAGTTCGATTCCCAGTCAGGACACATCCCCGGGTTGTAAGCTCGATCCCCAGTGGGGGGCATGCAGGAGGCATGGCTCTCTCATCATTGATGTTTCTCTCTCTCTCTCTCCCTGTCCCTTCCTCTCTCTGAAACAGAAAAAGAAAATTGCTTGTTATTTGATTCTCCATATTTAACCTTTTGACAGTGATGTATGGTTTTTGATAGTTAATGTATTTACATGGGTTATACTGTTTGTGAACATAGCTTCTTTTTTCCCCACTTGTCACAAGTGAACTTACTTTCATATCATCACATGTTCTACATCATTTCCTGTGGCTCTCCAGAGACCCCTGTATGAATATTCCACAGCCTCTTTGACCAAGGTCCTGTTGTTGAGCATTTAAGTTGTTTTGAATTTTTTCTCTAGAAAAAAAGTTTCAAAGAAAATCTGAGCAATTAAGTTTTTACAAATATCCATGCTACTTACTTAGAATGAATTCTTATATGTACAGTTTTTAGGTCAAAGGTTATATGAATCTCTCAGGCGTTTGCTATGCACTGCTCGCTCTGCAAGTGTCAGCAGAGTGACCAAGAATGGGTGAAAATACCATTTCTTTGAGCTCTTAATGAAACTGGATACTGTCAACTTTTTTTTTTTTGAGCACCAAATTGGGAAGTACAAATGACATCCATTTTGTTTTGTTCACCTGACCTTTACATTACAATTGAGGTCAAATTTACCCCCTGCCTGTTTGTTAGCATTTGTATTTCTTCTTTTGTAATTTGCCAGTTCATGTTCTTTGCTCATTTTTCTCTTAGGTTAGTAATACTTTTTCTTATTAACTTGTAGGAACTCTTTTATATACATTTGTGCAATTTGTTGTAATATTTGAGCAGTTTGATTTTCACCTTTCATTTTTCTTAAGAGTGTTTTCGACACAAAGTCTTTCCTATTAATATCTTCATTTATCTATTTATGCATTTGAGTATCACAATTGATAAGTTTCTGGATATAAATTAAAAGTCAGCCTAGGTGACTCTTGGAGTTCTAGACCTAGCAGGATCCATATTTAAACTAAACTTTGAGAAAATTTCTAGTAGAACTGAGCCAGTAATTCTAGGTATCCTGTTTAGTGTAGTTAATAGGACACTTTTATCTTTCATAAGATCTGAAATATGGAGTTATCACCATCAGTCATTTTGCAAATATGTGCCTTAGAATTGAATTTCTGAGTCCTTTCTGCTGGCTCCTGGGAAGGCAGAAAAGTGAGGAACTAGTCTGTGGGTATTGACAGTGAGACAGTCTCGAGTCTTTGCTCCTGACCTCCAAATGTGTGAAATCAAACAGTCTTTATGAGTTAACAGGTAAGTTAAACCCCATGCAGCCCTGGCCCGTGTGGCTCAGCTGGTTGAGGCATCGTCTTGTACACCAGAAGGTGGCAGGATCAGTTCCCGATCAGGGCACATACCCAGGTTGCATGTTTGATCCCCAGTTGGGGTGTGCGGGAGGCAGTTAATCAGTGTTTCTCTCTCTCTCTCAAATCAATAAAAGCATGTCCTCAAATGAGTATTAAACAAAAAAACAAAACCCATGCACAGTCCATTCATAAGCACTGTCAGAGGCCATGGTAAAATTGTTGTCTGTGGCACTTTTCAGACAGGGAGCTCCAGTTTGCCCAATGCTTTCAAACCTAGCATGACATGTGTGAGCAGCTCATTCACTGCTCTCTGGGCTTTTGCTGTGTTGCTGTCTGGGTTAGTGTCTTTAGCCTCAGACTGCAGGCTCACTCACATCGGGGGCTTCCGTAGAAATATGCCTTTCTTAAGGATCTGCAAACATGACAGGTGTTTTTCCTAACTCTGCAGAATTTGTTTTGGACTGGAAACTTCTGACCATTCCTTGTCTAAGTTTGACTGTTGTTTCTGTCCTTGCTTATCATTGGTCCCTGCTTGCTAGGGTCTTACGTTCTGGATTCATTCCTTTACGATGGATGTAACCCACAGGGCAGATCTGCTGCTCTCTTTGTTGGCTCTGTGGTCCAGCAAGTCAACCATTCTCATGTTGTAATTTGATAATTCATCAAAATTCTTATAGATATAAAATGCTCATCTCTGAGAAGTTATCTGTAGAATTATAAGGTGAGTCCTTTTATAAACTCCTCTCAAAAACGTAAGAGAAATCCTAGAAATATGTATAATGAGTAATGAAGAACGAGACAAAATATACGAAATAAATGAGAACCTGCAGTGTGCTCACACTTTATTACCTCTCCACGGTTAAAGAAAAGAGGGCGCAGTGTGGAGCTGTTGGCTCTGGTGGTTCTCCGATGAAGCATACAAGGAGCTGCTAGAAGGATACTCACAGTATTATTGTAGCACTCTATTCCGTTTCCCCTTGAAGCCTGCTGGAGCCCAGCTAAAGCAAAGCGGGTTTCATGGGAAAGGGATATGCAGAAGAGTAAGATAAACTGTGTATCATCATGGAGAGGCCAGTGGGGAGTTATCTGAGTCACTGACAATCCAAAACAGTTTTCCTTGTCTACAAATCCTGCAGTAGAAAATGTGGGAAGCTTCAATAGTCCTCTAACAATTTCACTTTTAAAATGGGTGTTAAGACAGTGGCTATTACGAACTTGTGCCAAGAAATTATTAGTTACAGTTGTTGCATAAGGTAATATGAGGGAGAAATAAAAATTTGAAGTGCTCTCAGAAAGTTTGAATTATTTGAAATGTCAAAAAGAAAATTATAGCTTTAAACTACAGAATTTGGGCCAGTTCTTTTTGTTCATATTCTAAAATGTTTTTCCTATACCCTGGATTATTGGGCACACAGAGTAGGAGCTTAACTCTCTGTGGGGACAGCCTAGATCAGGATGAGTGGAGATCTAGAAATGAGGCACACCAGGATGGTACAGGTGGCTAACAGATGGCAGTCATGGAGCTGGTACTACTCTTCACCCCTCTCTCTCGGAAGATTCTGGAAGCAGGTGTAGAGCAATGGTTCACGTAGGCAGCTGAGATTGGGGCTCTGTGGCAGCCAGTGATGGGAGCCAGCCTTGGCCTGAGCTTCAAGGGTAGGACTCTATACCGAACCCCAGTCTGCAGAAACGGATACTGTGCAGATCATTCCAATAAGGGATTTATCACAACTAGAGTATAATCCAGGAACTTCTTTACAGAAATAGAGGAAGAGCTCCCAAGGCTAACTTGAGACTAAGTCCTTTGGCCAGGGAGACTAGAACTCCTTAAATCCCCTAAAATTAGCTGCTCCTGCTTCTAGGATAGGTTGTGGGCCCAGGAAGCCAGACAGTCCTGGGGAGGGCACAGGGCAGAGGGCAGGAGCCTTGCAGGGATATCAAGGCTGATGACAGCGGCTCTTTTTTTCAAAACAAGACTTACAGGGCCAGATCTTCCATGTTCTGCCTTAGTGATTCTCCCTGTTAGGGCACCTTCGTCTTCTCTCATGATAACTACAAGGAAAGGTTATCTTCCCTTTTTCACTAGAAAATTATGTTGTTACTGCTTGGCCCTTGAATTAACATGACCAAAGCTGTGAGGCTTTGTCCAGCTCTCCATTCTTCATACTGATGTGTAGAATCCCATCTCCATTTCCCACAAATTGGGTTGGACACTGCCCTATATTTACTACTGTTCTCAGATACCAGTGAAAAATTAGCACCACACCAAGGTGTCCTCTCCCACCCTCCTGGGCAAATCACTTCTGAGCAGGAAGTGAGAAAGAAACGTATTCTGGCAGTAGGACGGTGTCATCATGGGTTGTTTTACTCTTGTTATCAGCATATTTTTAAGAGTGTGGACTGAAAATTAAGAGAGATTAACCTGTCCTGTTAATTGCCACTTTTTCTCTACCTCTTCATTTGGTTGTGATAAAATCTGTGCCCACCTCCCTGCCCAGGACACATAAGGAGATACGGTAAGACAGTTCTGTGCCCTTTGAAAACAGGGAGGCAGTATGGTGGTTAAGTTTCCCAGGCTCCCCAGCAGACTCAACAACAGAACAACTTTATTCCTGATTGAAGATTATTAGGAATAAAGAACAGGTCTTTTTTTGCTTAGTGTCTCCTCCTCAGCCAAGTTTTTATGCAAGCTTCCCATTTGGGGGAAGTTCAAGGGTCATTTATTTGTAGAAGAGTGGGGATACCATCAGGTTACGTTTTTCCAGATCTCTTTCTCAGTCCACCAAAGGATTCATGCAGTGACAGAGAAAATCTTAACAGAGGTGGTCATAGCTCATACACATATTTCACAAGTAGAAAAACAGTTCTGCATCAGATTCAGTCCTCAAAAAAATGTATTATTTCTAGTGTAAGTTATTATAAAGAATTAAATTCTGCTGGAAAATAATCAGATGTTATTTTATCTTGAAGACATTTTAATTTCAGTTAAATGTCAGAAAGCAAATTAAATCCTAAGTAAAGCTTACCCTAAATTGTATTTGAAGACTGGGTCTTTGAGACAAGGGGGAATGCAGCTACAGTTTGTTTTTATTTCTTTGTGCTTTCTTTTAAACACTGTAGGCCACAGCACTATTGAAAAGAGCCCCCACAGAAGAGCATGAGGATGGGTCAGCTATTCACAGTAATGAATCATCTTGCAGCTTGCCATCTATTCTGAATGACAATGGTGGAACAAAGGAGGCAAAATCCGCTCCGTGGTTCAACAGAGTTCTTACGAGGGAACAAGGTAACTATTGTTAAAGGGTTGGTCCACAGCAAAAATGCATTCAGAGTCAGCATGACACCCTTTCTCAAGGTGTACCTATAAAATAAAGGGGACAAGAGAATACCTTTGATTTTAATATGCATAATAGGCTATTTGTTTTATATTCCACCTTTCAATAAACATATGATTTTGTTTAGTTTACAGGGATAGGAAACCTAATTGTATGTCTGCAGTGTGGCTGAACTGCCAATAAATTAAGTTTTTATAAGTTGTGAAATCTTAACAAAACTAATCACTGGGCAATATGTAATTCTGATCATCCTACAAAGATGAAGATGATTCCATTAAAATGATTCCATAAAGTACTTCAGATAAAGTACTGTGAAGTTTTCTGTACCACTTAATAGAATGTACTCATAATTTATAAACATTCTTTTTAAGGTTGTCTTTATAACACAACATTATAAAAGTGTAAACTGATGATTAAGAATCAATGAATTTATAACCTCCAAAATTTTAGTATCCAGAAATTGTGATTATTTTAGCATTGCTCTTAAGATATGTCAGTAAACCACTATAGTGGTATTTCCAAGACAGCTGTGAGTTGCTCAGGATGTATTCAGAAGTTGATATACATGCACAGAATTTAAGACTGACTTGTTTAAGCCCCATTCAGATTTGATAGATGTCAAGCTAAATTATTTTGCATGAAAACAACATAGAATAGGTTTCCCTTTAGGAACAGTACTATTTCAGGCAAGAAATAAACCCCCCAAAAAGGAGGTGGGAAGACAGTGAAGATCATAGGAATGGTAGTTTAAAAAAATCAAAGGCCTAGTCCATAAATATAACCCTGACATACATTTTTATCATCATATGTTTGGTTTTTAGAAGTTTCAAGTGGCTGCAGAGAGGAGAGCAAGGAAGAAGAAAGCATGGCAGCAAAGGTTCCAATCACAGGTAAGGTTATGGTTGCCTAAGAGTCGCAAGCACAGAATTCAACCTTATTATATAATCAGAACATTCTAGGTTAATGGTATATGGACTCCACTGAAAGCAGGTATATTTGACTACTACATGCTGGAGGAGAGTAATTATAAGAGCACATAATCATAATGTGCAAGCTTAGGTTAACACAAACTAAGGTGCAAAATAACCGTGTCTATTGAATTCTCATAATCATGTTATACATTTACACATGCGAGCATCCCCCATCGCGTAGCCTTTCAGCACCTGCGTCTGTGTGAAAAGGTCAGTCTCCATGGGGAACACCCGGTCATTATATGGTAAACTACAGATGTTTCTGATTTCATTCTTTTCTTTCCTGTGATAATTGAATGTGTATCATTAAAATAGAGCAGGGAAAAAAGTGCCAGATAGGAAGCTAGCTTGTGCTTCAGTTACAAAGCCTGTCTGATAATTTAAAGATTTTAGCAATAAGGTTTCATCAAGACCTATTAAGTTTTCTGCACATGTATTAGGCTTACTAAGATGAAATCTGAATGTCATTACTTTTTTAGTTTTAGAATATCAGCAGCAGAAATTAGTATTCTGAACAGAGTTGTATTTGTCATATATCTAAATTTAGTAGTACCTTATTTTTTAAAGTGGTATGCTACTTCATTATAAATTCAAAGGTCTGACTTTAAATATTTACACAAGTAAATACGCCGTTGCCCTGAGGTGCTGAGGCACACATTTGTGTATGTGGTAGTTTTGTGGTTTATATGCAGGAAAGAATGGCTTTCTTTTATGGCAATACAATTCATGGCCTGATGATTAATTTTTTAAACCCATATTCCTATGATGAACTCTGGTTTTGTAAAAGGAGTTTATAGTAGAGCAATTATTGTATATATTCTGCATCAGATAATATTTCACTCCAAAATACAGAGGGTTTTTTTTCTTTTAAACATTTCCCAGTTAAATGTTTATTGCCTTTTTCTTCATTTTGAGAAAATTCTGGTAGAGTTCCCTATTTATTTATTTATTTATTTATTTAATGGATTTAGGGGGGAAGGGGGAAGGGAAGGAAGGAGGGAGAGAGAGAGAAGCATCAACTGGAAGCCTCCCGAACTTGCCCCAATTGGGGAATCAGACCTGCCACCTTTCAGTGCTCAGGATGATGCTCCAATTAACTGAGCCATACCGGTCAGGGCTTTAATTTTTTTAAAAGAATTGTGGATGATTCCAAACTGCAAGTAACCAAGAAGTCATTTGGATACTTTTCTTTTGCATTTACCTTTGAATGCATAAGTATCTAATAATCTCTGAATTTATTTCAGTTAAAAGTATAAGAGCTTATTGGGAAAAATCAGGAAGTGGCCTCGTTGCCCATTCCTACTAGTCTTTTAAGTATTCTTTCCAACCATCCCTTGCTGAGAGTAGATGACTCTACTCAAAATTATTGCAAATGTTACTATCCCATAAATTGTGTTATTGAAGTATAATTGATTTATATATATATGGAACTATGTTAGTTTCAGGTATACAGTGTAATGATTCAATGTATGTATACATTGCAAAATAATCACCACAACAGTTCTAGCTAACATCTCTCATCATACAGAAACAAAATTTTTTTCTTGTTATGAGAACTTTTAAGATATACTCTTCTAGCAGCATTCAAATATTCAGTACAGTATTATTAACCTTAGTAACCATGCTCTTCCTTACCTCCCATAACATTCATTTTATAACTGGAAATTTGTACCTTTTTTTTTGACCTTTTAAAAATTTACAATTATTATACAATACTATATTAGTTTCAGGTGTACAGCATAGTGACCAGACATTTATATAACTTGCGAAGTGATCACTCCTATAAGCCTAGTACCCATCTGACACCATACATAGTTATTATAATATTATTGACTATATTCCATAGGCTATACTTTACATCCCTGTGACTATTTTTATTTTTAATTTTATTAAAATATGTCTTTATTGATTTCAGAGAGAAGAAGGGAGAATGGGAGAGAGAGATAGAAACATCAATGATGAGAGAGTCATTGATTAGCTGCCTCCTGCACCCCCTTGCCTGGGGATTGAGCCCGAAACCCAGGAATGTGCCCTGAACGGGAATCAAACCATGACCACCTGGATCCTAGGTGGACGCTCTACTGCTGAGACACGCCAGCGGGCTGTGACTATTTTTATAACTGTTAGTTTGACTTTTTAATCCCTTTCACCATTTTCACTTATCCCCCAACCCCCTCCCAATCTGAAAACCATCAATTTTTTCTCTGTATCTATGAGTTTGTTTCTGTTTTGTTTATTTTGTTTTTAGATTCCACATATAAGTGAAATCATTTGGTATCTGTCCTTCTCTGTCTGACTTATTTTACCTAGCATAATACCCTTTTGGTCCATCTGTGCTGTTGCAAATGGTAAGACTTCATTCTTTTCTATGGCTGAACAGTATTCCATGGTGTGCGTGCACCACATCTACTTTACCCGTTCATCTATCGGTGGACACCTAGGTTACTTCTATGTCTTGGCTGTTGTGAATAATGCTGCAATGAACATAGGGGTGTATATATCTTTTCAAATTAGTTTTTCAATTTCTTCAGATAAATACCCAGAAGAGGAATTGCTGGGTCATAAGGCAGTTCTATTTTTACTTTTTTGAGGAACCTCCATACTGTTTTCCATCATGGCTGCAACAATCTGTATTGCCACCAGCAGTGCATAAGGGTTCCCTTTTCTGCACGTCTTCTCCAGCACTTGTTTGTTGATTTATTGATGGTAGCTATTCTTACAGGTGTGAGGATATCCCACTGTGGTTTTAATTGTGTTAGGCCTACAGAGGAGGGGAGGTTGCAAAGATTTCTGAGTATGGATTGTATCAAGAGATATGCCCTTTATAAAGAGGGGCAAATCTGAGTACATGTAGGCCTGAGACCACATGCTGGTAGTAGGATATTCAGGTTAGTGTTTCCCTGAAACACTTAGGCCAGGATGAAAGCAATGTTTATCTAGATTATGAGGGAGTCTCCTTCTGAACTATTTATACCCCTGAAGGGAAAGTTCTCACACTGACAATTTTATTTATGTTCGATTATATTTACCTTTGAGAATTAAGTGAATTTTAGTTTTAGCAAATGATACAGCTTATACTAAATGTCATACAAACCAATAATCTAACATAGTGTCTGGCACACAGTGGGCACTCATTTTGTCAAACAAATGAATAAAGATGAGAGTATTAAAGGAGTTTCTTTAAATGCTTGTTGATTCAGGCCAAAATACTATCTCTTTCAGTCATTCATTCCACCAATACTTTTCCCACCCACGTGCCCATCCTGGCAAAACTCTTCTCCTTAAGCTCCATGTGAAAAGGGCTCTCAGCTTTTATCTCAAGAGGATTAAGCCCTAAGAATGTCCATTCAGCCTCTTATTCTTTTGACACCAATTCACTTGGTCAAGCTGTGTTGAAAGTGGGTGCCTCACTGTGCCATTTCTCACTGATATTCTTTGGGAAGCTGAAATATTCAAGGTCGTACCAAGGTACTCCATTTAGACGCTTTGTGGGAGGTCAGCATAAATTTGAAGGGTGTCATTTGGGGTCCTGGGCAGTGCTTGCCAAAACATCATTGCTTGAGTTTTACATCAAATTGGAAAAGAGCTGGACACATACAATGGCCATGTTGTCATTGGTGACTAAATTTATCCTGAGAGAAAAGACTGTGGTGATAACTTCAGACTGCCCCAGTACAATGGCATGATATCTCCAGTGCTGAGGCTTAACCAAGAATGTTCCTCACTTATTCCTTCCCAGAAATGCTCAAGAATCAGTAAAGATGTATTACGTGCTGTACCTGGGACAGGGGACCCTCAACTCGTGCAAAACCAAGGAACCACCATATGCTTCTGGTTTGTCCATTGCAGGTCACATGGCCCTGTTTCTACAGCAGTGGTCAGGCTGCTGGAACTTCACCACTCGGCCTGCTGCCTGCTGCTTGCTCTCTGGCAAAGCATCCCTCATGCATGACATTGCAAGATGGTGGTAGTTGATTAACGTAGTGATTAAAGCGTTTTGACTAGTGCTCTTGACTGGATGCCCTGCATTCACTGAAATGGGCTCCTACATGCTTAGAGAAATTCTCTTTGGTGGCTGCACAATAGAATCCTATGGGGCGTTCTGAAACACACCCACACCCCAGCTCATCCCTTGACCAGTTATATCAGAACCTCTAGGGGCAAGAGCCAGGTATCAGTCTTTTATAACACACCCAGGTGACTCCCTAGGTTTGAGAACCATGGAGCAGGAGGTCTCAAAGCTGAAAGAGTCCTTGGAGGTCATGTTGTAAAATACTCTCACTTTACACACGAGACTCAAGTGAGGAGAGAGAACAGGTTGGGCTTTAGATATTTTAATAAAATCGGGAGCCAGGGAGTGTATTTCTATCATCCCTTGGTGTTTTTTCAGTATACTGGTTCTAGGACCCATTTCCCCACCCCCATTGGGTATACCAAAATCCACAGATGCCCAATTCCCTTATATAAAAAGGCATTATATTTTGACATTGGCTACAGCAAGGTATAACAACACATCACTTCATTTGCATGGATTTAGTGTAGTAGCAAATTCAAGGTTTGCTTTTTGGAGCTTTCTGGTATTTAAAAAATATATTTTTCACCTGCAGTTGGTTGAATCCATGGATGCAAAACCCGTGAACACAGAGGACTTAATGTATTTTCCTAGGGCTGCTGTAACAAAACACCACAAACTTAAAACAACAGAGATGTATTCTCTCACAGTTATGGATGCTAGAAGCCTAAAACCAAAGTGTCAGCAATACTGTGCTCCCTCTCGGGGCTCCAAGGGAGTGTCCTTCCTTGCCTGTTTCAGCTCCTGGTGGGGCCCAGTTTGTGGCAGCATAACTCCAATGTCTAACACCATCTTAACATTACCTTCTTTGTGTCTCCTGTGTCCACCTCTCTTCCTCACAGGACAC